AGCGTGTTCTTCCTTTTGGTTTTCTCACTCTAGATCTTCACACATTTTGTTCTAATATTTGGCTTTATCTTCTTGAGCTGATCTTTGAAATTTTCTGTTCAGCTTTTGGACCTCCTCATGTCTTCCATTTGCTTTAGCATCTCTATGCTGGAGAGCAAGTTTCTGTGTCTCTTCTGACATCCATTTTGACCTTTTCCTTTCTTGTGTTAATGACTTTTTGCTTTCTTCCTGTATGATGTTCTTGATGTCATCCCACAGCTCCTCTGGTGTTCAGGTCTTTAGTGTTTAATGTATCAAATCTGTTCTTCAGATGATCTCTAAATTCAGGTGGGATATAGTCAAGGTCATTATTTTGGCTCTCGTGGACTTGTTTTCACTTTCTTCAGCTTCAGTGTGAATTTGCATATGAATAATTGATGGTCTGTTCCACAGTCTGTGTTTCGATTTTCAATGATGTTTACAGGTGTTTGTCTTCATATCGAGCTGTGCCCCATTGGCAAATGAAGGTCCTGCGGGCTTTACTGCTTTCACTTCATCACGGTCAATTCTACTTTGAGGAGGCAGCTCTACCCTAGTCGCATTTTGAGTGTCTTGTTTTCACTGATGATATAGAGCTTTTCCATCATCTCTTTCCACAGATGTAGTCAATTTGATTTCTATGTATTCCATCTGGTGAGGTTCATGTGTATGTATAGTCATCTCTTATGCTGTCTAAAGAAGGTATTTGAAATAAACAAATCATTGCTTTTGCAGAATTCTATCATGTATTCTCCAGCATCATTTCTATCACCAAGGCCATATTTTCCAACTACAGATCCTTCCTCTTAGCTCCCAACGTTTGCATTCCAGATGAAGTAATAATCAATACATCCTGATTGCATGTTTGATCGATTTCAGATTGAAGAAATTGTTAGATTTCTTCTATTTCAATCTCACTGGCTTTAGTGGTTGGTGTGTAAATTTGAGTAATAGTGGTATTAACTGGGCTTCCCTGTAGGTGCATGGATATTATCCTATCACAGACAGTGTTATACCTCATGACTGATCTGGATATGTTCTTTTTGATGATGAATACAACACCATTCCTCTTCAATTTGTCATTACCGGTATAGTAAATCGTATGGTTGTCAGATTCAAAATGGCCAATACCAGTTCATTTCAGCTCACTGATGCCTAAGATATTGATGTTTATGCGTTCCATTTCATTTTTGACAACTTCCAATTTACCCAGATTCTTACTTTGTACATTCCATGTTCCAATTTTCAGTGGATGTTAACAGCTGTTTCTCTTCATTTTGAGTTGTACCCCATCAGCAAATGAAGGTCCCGCGGGCTTTTCTGCCACGGGCTTTACTCCTTTCGCTTCATCACGGTCAACTCTACTTTGAGGAGGCAGCTCTTCCCCAGTCGCATTTTGAGTGTCTTCCAACCTGTGGGGCTCATTTTCCGGCACTATATCTGACAGTGTATCTCTGCTATTCATAAGGTTTTCAGTGACTAAATATTCGGAAGTAGTTTATCACTCTTTCTTCCTAGTCTGTCTTCGTCTGGAAGCTCATCTGAAACCTGTCCACCATGGGTGACCCTGCTGGTATTTAAAGTACTGGTGGCATAGCTTTCCGAATCACAGCAACTCAAAAGTCACCATAGTACAACAAACTGACAGACAAGTGGTGGCCGTTTGGTTTTAAATGGAAACTGTCACTTTAAATTTTGAGGAGATCTGTGCATATGCGTAGTTTTGATAAAATATGTTTTGATAAAATCTCACTGCCTTATAGCTCTGTTATAGGCAGTGAGATTTTATTAAAACATATTAAATAGGAAGATTGAACATATCAGAGTTCTATAACATTTGGATAGGGACCAACAGTAAAAAATACTTTTTACATACATATTAAACTGAAATAAATGTTTCGTAAAATATTCTTACTACACACAGTATTTTCTGATATTTTTCCATTTTATTCTTTTGTTTAAAAAAATTGTTGGCTACAACCTACTAGTGACCACAATTCGAAAAGCATAAGGTTACATTACCTATAATAAGGCTATTGCATACCTTGTTGCCATTTTATGATCTTAAACATATCTCACTAATTGTCTTAGTTTTCTTGTGCTGCTATAACAGAAATATACCACAAGTGGATAGCCTTAGCAACCAGAAATTGAATTATTTCGTGATTTAGAAGTCCATATCCAGAGTACTGGTTCTAGAGAAAGGTTCTTGTCTCCCTTCAATGTTTTTAATAGGCCCAGCATTCCTTGGAGTTCACCATGTGTCTTGGCATCTATCTCCCTCTGGATCTAGGGACTTCATAGTACAGGGACCCCTGGTCCAAAGGAGGCCTTCTATCTTGGTAGTAGTAGGTCCCTCCTCTGCTCAAGTCTTTCTCCTTTCAGAACAGACTAGAGGGCACTTAACAACAACAAAATGAAAGATGTTGGGTTTCGCACCCTTGGGAATCTTCTGTAAATTGGATTAGGCTGATAGTGGGATTAAGGGTGGTTGAAATTACTGATGAATGGAATGCAAACATTGGAAACAAAGATGAAAGATCAGTAGTTGGAAACATAGGCCTTGGTAATAGAAATGATATTGGTGATCACATGATGGAATTTTGCTAGACCAGTGATTAATTCACTGCAAATAGCTTTTTGAAAACAGAACTATATACACATATGAAGCTTACCAGATGGAATACACAGGAATCAAATTGACTACATCTGTGAATATAGACAGTGGAAAAACCTCTGTCATCAGCCAAAACCAGGCCAGTGGCAGACTGTGGAACAGACCATTAATTGCCCCTATATAATTTCAGGCTGAAGCTGAAGAAAATGAAAACAAGTCCACAAGAGCCAAAATATGACCTTGAACATATCCCACGTGAATTTAAAGATGATCTCAAGAATGAACAGATTTGATGCATTAAACACTAATGACCAAAGAGCAGAAGAATCATGGGATGACATCAAGAACATCATACAGGAAGAAAGCTAAAGGTAATTAAGAAGACAAGAAAGAAGGAAAGACCAAAATAAATGTCAGAAGAGACTCTGAAACTTGCTTTCCAGCATAGAAATGCTAAAGCAAGTGGAAGAAATAAGGAAGTAAAAGAGGTGAACAGAGAAATTCAAAGGGAAGCTTGAGAAGGACTCAAGAATTATAATACAATGTGCAAAGACCTGTAATATGCTCAGCATTTCTTAAGCTGAAAAAATTGAAGAAAAAATTCAAGCCTGTACTTGAAATATTAAAGGAGTCTATGGGCAAAATATTGAATGATGCAGAAAGCATCAAGAAAAGATGGAAGAAATACACAGAACAGAGGCAAGGGGGGTGGTATATCACCCTTGGAGTCCTGGTGTGGCACTGCAAGATAATGTGCTGGATTTAAGGTCAGTTTGAACCACAAGGTCAGTGGTTCAAACCCAACAGCTGCTCTTCAGAAACCCTATACAGGGTCGCTGTGGTTTGGAATTGATGCCATGGCACTGAACAACAGCAACATCTCACCCTTGAAGTCCTGGTATAGTGTTGTAAGATAAGCATAGGGCTGCCATCACTAGGTTCAAACCCATTAGCCACTCCTTGAAAACCCTATACAGGGTTGCTTTGAATCAACTCAACAACACACCCTACCCTTAATCCTCTTATTGGTTTATCACATCAAATCACATCATGGGAATGTTGTTGTAGTTAGGTGCCGTGGAGTTGGTTCCGACTCATAGCAACCCTGTACAGGGTTTCCGAGGCTGTAAATCTTTACGGGAGCAGAAAGCCTCATCTTTCTCCCATGGAAGAGCTAGTAGTTTCGAACTGCTGACCTTGTAGTTTGCAGCCCAATTCGTAACCACTGTGCTACCAGAGTTAGCTGCATCTTAACTGAAAACCACTGAGAATCCTGGTCCCCTCAGTTTGGCACAAAACCTTAAATACCGCACTAATTAATTCATCAGTCTTTATCATGTTGCTGCTGTTGTCATTAAATGCCTTTGAGTCCACCGTGACTCATAGCAATCTTGTATAGGGTTTCATAGGAGCAGCTGGTGATTTTGAACTGTCCACCTTGTGGCTTACAGTCCAGTCTGGTGATCCTACAGTGCCACCCCAGAAGTCCCAATGTTAATTAGTAAGTAATTGGTCCTGTATAAGAGTGGCTGCTAAGCTTGCAGTTCAAACTGACCTGGCAGTCTAGTACGTTAACCTTCAGCGCCATGCCAGGACTCCCAAAAAAGTGATTAGACCTGTGATATATTTTATGGGATTATTTTGTTTAATCTCGGAAATCCTGAACAGGGTCACTATGGGTCGGAACTGACTCGACGGCACTTAACAACAACAAAGGAGCTCTGGTAGCGTAGTGGTTACGAATTGGACTGCGAACCACAAGGTCAGCAGTTCGAAACTACCAGTGGGTGAAAGATGAGACCGTCTGCTCCCGTAAAGATTTACAGCCTCGGAAACCCTGTGCAGGGTCGCTATGAGTCGGAACTGACTCCCCGGCACATAACAACAACAATATTAAAAATATATTTCCTGTCTTGATAGTATAATCTGTTGAACATAATTTTCTTTCTCTGAATTTTTTCAGAATTTTATAGTTCTGAAATTTTAGGTATATAAATATAGAAGATACTTAGTCTTTTCTTATAATTTACATATTTTCACTTGATCTGGACATTGTGATAAATATCTGTTAATTTAGAAAGTTAGAATCATTTTTTTGTTAAGATTTTTAACTGTAGTTTGAATATGTATAAATGCCTTAAAAATTCTAAATATAAAATATGTGATCATCTAAGGGGATGCCACGAGAAGCCAAAAATATTAAGGGAGCATAGTGGCAGTGTTTTCTATAGGTCTGTGGCTCGGTAATTATTTATTGATCCTTTAAAGCATCTTGCAATTATTTAATGTAGCGATTTTGAAACAGAGTTATGCATTGAATTAATATTGTTACAACAACTTATGTTGCATATTTTACTTTTTTCAGGAACATCATTTACAGCGAGCTATTTCAGCACAGCAAGTATTTAGAGAAAAAAAAGAGAGCATGGTCATTCCTGTTCCTGAGGCGGAGAGTAATGTCAACTATTATAATCGCTTGTACAAAGGAGAGTTTAAGCAGCCAAAGCAGTTTATTCATATTCAGCGTAAGTTTGCTAATTCATTGTTTTTTGTTTGTAATTTAGATTCATTTACAAGTAAAAATCTTTTCTGTTGTCCAAAGAGGTTTTATTTTCATTTTTGATTCATATACATTGATTAATAGAAACTTGAAATATAAAATAAAATAAAATCCTTTTATCCTTATATCTGAACTTGGAGATCATTTTTAGTGTTAGGAGCATTTGATGTCTGTGTAAATATTGAATTTTGTATAACACTTATACTTTATTATATAACTAAGAGAACACTCTGGTAGCGTAGTGGTTACGAATCGGGCTGTGAACCTTAAGGTCAGCAGTTCGAAACTACCAGCCGTTCCGCGGGAGAAAGATGAGGCTTTCTACTCCCGTAAAGATTTACACCCTTGGAAACCCTGTACAGGGTCGCTATGGGTCGGAACCGACTCGACGGCACTTAACAACAGCAAAGAGAACACAAGACACCATATCTGGGTCTTTTATTACTATAACCAGATAAGATATATATTTTTAAAGGCCCAGTCTGTGGATGTAATGCCCAAGAATAGGAATCAGTTTTGTAAAATTATTCAGAATGAAATTTTATACCTCTACCATCATCTATTTTTTATAAAAAGCAAATATTGCATCTTAATACTGTCTTTTCTGTATCCCACTGTTGATATTTTAGATTGTCACCACTCCATCCTTAATTATTTCAGTAATTTCCGGTTATAGTTACTAGTTTCTCATTGCTACTTCCTGTCCTTGTCCTTTACTAATCTGTCTTCTTCACAGAGTTCAGAATCACCAAAGTGGTCGGTCTTCTTAAAGTATCATTCTGACCAAATTAATGCTCTTGCCTAAAATCCTATTGTTCTTCGTTGTCTTACATTAGAAGTTTTCAGCTATTCTGCAGACAGATGCTAGTACCTTGATATCTTGTGTTATGGCATAAAAAATAACCTTGGGAAGCTTGTTAAAAGTAGAGATCCCTGAGCCTGTCTACAGACCTGCCTGCATATCTCTGGATATACAGACCGGCTATTTGTATTTTTTTTTGGTAACTTTTCCAAATAATTATCACCAGATCTGAGATTAACTCTAAGGTCTATTCTTTAGGGCACATTCTAAAATGCACATTTTTCATTTTTGAAATGAGATTGTGCCTTACTGTTAACACTGGATTGAATTCTAATTTTCTAAAGCGAATTTGTATTTGTTTCTGGCAGATATCTAGGGATACCACTAGACTGAAACCACTTAAATAAAAGTCTTTGGTTACTTTGTTTAGTTAGTTTGTTTTGGAACCACTGGTAGCTTTAATTCAGGTTGCAGACCTGCTTGTGGTTCTGGTTCTCAGAGGGAGATTTTCTCCCCTTTGCTGTCTATTTCTGCATCGTTAGTTTATGTCTGCTTTATCTTTCACTGAGACTGTAGCCCTTTGATAGTATAGATTTATGCAAGGATATTGTATTTCAAAAGGGCCCAGCATAAAACCTCTTTTTTGTAGTATATGTAAGATAATGGTACATCTGTTATAAAATTGATGGCAATTTAGATTTCATAGAGTTCAGTAACAGCCAAATTCTAAAATATGATTAGAAGGCCTTTGATTTGTTCTTTTTACTACTGTAACTTCATTTCCTGTTGCTCTTCCTTTATTCTCTGTGCCCTAAAGACTACTGGAAAGTATCCACATTTGCATTGTTTCATAATTCACACTTGTTTTTATGTGCTATTCCAGCCTTCCTTCCCTTCTTCCAACTCATTTAAGACCCAACTCCTCCTTTATGAAGTCTACTCTACCTTTTCTCCTTGGATCTTTTTTTTTGTTTGTTTACCTTTACCACATTATCTTGTGCTTACCTTTATTAGAGGTCTTGCCATACTTTATTTCAATTATTTGTAACTATTCTTTCTCTCCTTTTAGACTGGAAGCTCCTTCAGGACAGGAAATGCTTTGTTGTTGTGTTTTAATCTTCAGAATAAAGTAGTTGGTCTGTAGATACTAAATAAATGCATGTGTATTGCCTGGCTGAATTGTTTTTAAATGACTTTTTGGAAAGCTCTCAAGTATTAGAATTATTTCCTAGAGATTGATATTTCTGAAGAGTTCATGAGAAACACGCTTTTATTTGTGTGATTTGTTTCCTCTCTCTTCTGTATTTTTATTCCTTTTTTATTTTATTTTATAATAACAGAATAAAGAGGCGCGGGGGAGGAGCCTTTAGGTTGTTGAATTTCCTTAACTTTTGTGTCAGTTACGGTTGTTCATGATAGGAATTCTAAGGATTCATTTTGATCCAAATTATCAAATTTTTATGTTTTAATGGTAGTAGTATAGCTGGACAGCAGGATCTATGACCATTTATAAAAAAAATTTTGTAGGAAACCAAGAGCCAGAAAATAGATTTTAGAATTAGACCCACTGGATAAAATAAAGATCTTGTGCTGGCTGCCCATCCCCTAGTTATTCTGTTATTGTTTAAAAATAAATAAATAAACAGAAAAATTATTTTAACTATTTTCTTTTATCTGTCAGCATATGTAGTTTATACACCACACTGTACAGTATTATACTACACATAGCAGGTTTTTATTTTATTTTCTAATTCGATTTTAGGTTTCTCTTATTTTAAATGTGTGTGTATATATATGTGTGATATATATATATATATATAATTGGTCAAATTGATATTTCATGTTTTGTATACTTATGTGTCTATTACTGGACTCAAGATTTCTATACTAAATTTTTAAATTCATGTTATTATTAAGATATTTTTCAAGGTTTTCTTTTTTTAAACATGAGTAAGTTATTGCCAACTCTTCAAATACAATAAATTTAATAAAAATAGCCTTCTGGATTTTCCCATTCCTTCTTTTAATAATAGATTTGAAAGACTCTCCATTTACTTGGCTAGATAAAAGATTGTAAAATTTTCATGGGGCTTCTCAATAGAGTACTAATTTAGGCCTTCACATTGCGGTTTTGTACTTGACAGAGTCTCCTTGTTGGTCTCTTGACTTGTCTTAACTATATTGCCTAGTACCCAAGCCCATTGCTGTCAAGTCCAGTAGGATAGAGTAGACTTGCTCCCTAGAGTTTCTGAAGTGAATTATCTTTACAGAATAAGACTGCTTTATCTTTTCCCCTGAGAAGCTGATGATTGCCTCAGTTATCAGCCCAATGCTTAACCCATTGTGCCACCAGAGCTTCAACGATAATTCTTTACGGGAACCAACAGTCTCTTCTTTTTCTCTCAGTGTGGCTGGTGGGTTTGAACTGCTAACCTTTTGACTATTCTAAGCCCAGTGCGTATCTGGCAGTGCCAGGGCTCAGGCGTGTATATTTAGGCATAGTGTAATGAATGGACAAAACAAAAAAAAGCAGGATTGGTCACAGGTGCATATTTCAGTGTCTGTGTACTGGCCTTGAAGCATTAGAATTCTTTCCCGTGTGGACTCAAAAGATTGATGATATAACCCAGTGTACTAAATGTGGTCTTTACCATATTCACCTAGCAACTCGTATCTCTGTGGAGGACTCTGCAGTGACACCACACTGCCTTGAGAGTTGGCACTTTTCAGCATCTTGTCTATTTCTGTTATCTATCTTCTGTCTACCATAATAAAGGAAATTTGCCTTCCTTTCTTACCTCATTAGTATAATTACACTGGCTACCTACCAATAAAATATACTTTTTCATATGCTTATTTTGGAGTTCTGGTATGGTGTGTAGATAAATAGCAGACTGCTAACCAAAAGGTTATCAGTTCAAACCGACCAGCCACTCCTTGGAAACTCTATATGTGGTTGCTGTGAGTTGGAACTGACTCTATAGCCTTTAACAGCAAGAACACTAACATTTTCTGAAAGTTTTAATAGAAAACTGAAATGTTCTTTCACAGTTATGGGTAAAAGATAGAATAAAATAGCTTTTACTGACTTATATGTTCAAATACCCACCACTCGTCTGTCAGTTTGTCGTATTGTGGTGGCTTGTGAGTTGCTATGATTCTGAAAGGTATGCCACCGGTTTCAGTTAAGCCTCCAAAGACAGACTAGGAAGAAAGAGTGATGAACTACTTCCGAATATTTAGTCACTGAAAACCTTATGAATAGCAGAGAAACACTGTCAGATATAGTGCCAGAAAATGAACCCCTCAGGTTGGAAGACACTCAAAATGCGACTAGGGAAGAGCTGCCTCCTCAAAGTAGAGTTGAACGTGATGATGCAAAAGGAGTAAAGCCCACAGGATCTTCATTTGCTGATGGGGCACAACTCAAAATGAAGACAAACAGCTGTAACTATCCATTGACAATCAGAACATGGAATGTACGAAGTAAGAATCTGGGAAAATTGGAAGTTGTCAAAAATGAAATGAAACACATAAACATCGATATCTTAGGCATTAGTGAGCTGAAATGAACTGATATTGGCCATTTTGAATCTGACAACCACATGGTTTACTATGCCGGGAATGACAGATTGAAGAGGAATGGTGGTGTGTATTCATCATCAAAAAGAACATATCCAGATCAGTCGAGGTACAGCACTGTCTGTGATAGGATAATATCCATGCACCTACAGGTAAGCCCAGTTAATACCACCATTATTCAAATGTATGTACCAACCACTAAAGCCAGTGAGGATAAAATAGAATAGTTCTACCAACTTCTTCAATCTGAAATCGATCAAACATGCAATCAGGATATATTGATTATTACTTCTGATTGGAATGCAAAGAGGAAGGATCAGTAGTTGGAAAAAATGGCCTTTGCGATAGAAATGATGTTGGAGAATGCATGATAGAATTCTGCAAAACCAATGATTTGTTCATTTCAAATACCTTCTTTAGACAGCATACGAGACGACTGTACACATGGACCTCACCAGATGGAATACTTAGAAATCAAATTGACTACATCTGCAGAAAGAGATGATGGAAAAGCTCCATATCATCAGTGAAAACAAGGCCAGGGGCAGACTGTGGTACAGATCATCAATTACTCATATGCA